TCCCTCCCCTCCCTCCTCTCTCTCTCTCTCTCTCTCTCTCTCTCTCTCTCTCTCTCTCTCTCTTTCTTTTTTTCCTTCGATTCAATTCTTCTTTGCAATCGCTCGTCAAACAGCCAACGGTACGACTTTACGAGAAGCATCATAAAGCGACGGCGGAGTCAGCTCGGCTACATTCCTAATCCAATAATTATGATAACATGGCGGCAGACTAAATAAGATTGGAGCGCAATAGAGTTAAAATTATTACGAACCGTTCGCATAACATCAGTTGGATTTAACTAGGATTTAACTGATTATCCGTAGACAAAATTAGAAAATGAGAGATGGAATTAACTACATCTCAGTTAACTAATTCAGTATTTATGGAAATTGCTTTATATAATATTTACATGTTTAACAAAAGATGAGTCAAGATTCGTTATTATTTCTCGTTAGATGATTTCTGTTCCCGTGTGCCGATTATAAAAAGCGACGGAATTTTTTATGAACGATTAAAAATTTGATTCGTCATTATTTCGTTATTTTTCGGTGTCCTACCGACGGAAAGGAGCCCATAGCGGGGACTGCGCCCTTCTGTTTTGCGTTCTGTCCGTAGGGTGCCCGCGGGTGTCCACCCTCGAAGCAGGACATTCAGCACTCCGCATACACAGCCCTTTTTTTAATTGTTATATTTATAAGGGGTCGTCTCGATGCCGCACACATGGCGGTTCCTCAGCTCCGGGGCTGGAGAACTCGGTTGTTTTTCGGACATAGGTATTGGACGGACGTGCCCTTCTTTTCATTCTTCTCCCCTTTCTTTCGTAAATCGATACTCATTCACTGAGGCTTGGACTCTTCACACACAATTCGACAAGGGTGGACTACATGTATATATATTAATAAGGACGAAAGCAGCTACTGGAATATTTCAAATTTAATATTTATTTATAAGAAAACTATTTTCGACAAAGAAAAATGAAAATTATTAATAAGTTTATATTAATAAAATAAGATAGAAGCTCTGGTCTTAATTGCTTAGTAAAGATGATAATACAATTATAATAAAACTATAATTATGTTTTCTATTTCAACATTGTATTATCGAGGAAGAGATATTTCACAAAGCTTCAAACTGTTTAACTCTCTTAATTTATTAAAAAATTGCTAATATGAAAATTGATAAAGGTTTCACGTTAATATTTTTAATTTAAACGGAACATCTGTCGATGAAAGAAATATGAAATATCTCGACGATAATTTAGAACTTCTCCTCGGCTTCCCCGTGTCACTCTTGACGAGAGATCACGACGTTCGCATACGCGATATCTCGCGATAGTGTGCGAACCGTACTATCGTCCATACGTCCGTACTGTCCGGTCAACGCATCCGGTCAAGCGGTAGCAGGAGACTACGCGGCGATGCTGGTGAAACGCGCTGGGAAGATCGCGCGGATAGACGAAGCGAGCGGCGAAGGAGGGAGAGGCGCGGCAAGGGGAGAGGAAGGAACGGGCGGATGGGGCGAATATTGGACAACTAATTACCTAATCACTCATTATCCACCGCGGACTCCGGGCGCCGGTAGTTCGGCGCGCCAGGTACGTAGATAGAGGTGGAACGGGCTTGCCCGGAGGGCCATTGTGATACACGAAGCAGAATCATGCACGATCGTATATTATCGATGAGAGGACGGGGGATAGGAGAGGACGGTGGAATGGCAGCGGCCATCCCTAAAATCCTTCCCCCGCGCGCACCCTCCCCCCTCCCTCCCCTCTCCCTCCCCTCCGTCGTCCCCCGCGCCTGC